CTGGCAGATGTTGGGTGAGGCAGCAGGCCGGCCTGGACCCCGGCGTGTGGCTCACTCAGTCCTCCCACCCCCAGGGCAGGGAGGCGGCCGAATCGCTGTCGCCTTCTGTCTGGGTAAGAAAAGGGAAACCCAGCCCTGGCTGGTGTGGCTCAGTGGATAGAGCGTCGGCCTGCGGACCGAAGGGTCCCGGGTTCGATTCCGGTCCAGGGCACGTGCCTCAGTTGCAGGCTCCTTCCGGGGCCCCGGCCCTGGTCAGGGAACACACAGGAGGCAACCGGTCGATGTGTTTCTCTCACATCGATGTTTCTGTCTCTCCCTCTCTCTTCCACTCTCTCTAAAAATCAATGAAAAAATATCCTCGGGTGAGGATTTAAAGAAAGAGAAGTGGAGCCCAGATAAGTCACAGACGAGGGACACTCAGCTGGGCCCCTGGGAGCCAGACACACAGTAGGGCTGCGCAGGGCAGGCAGGAAGGAGATAGGAGGGGAGCAGGCGCAGAGCCAGCAGGGGAGGGTGGGGGGCCTCCTTTCCTGGGGGAGGGTAGCCACGCTCCCCAGCCTCCCCGCTGTTCCCCCAGGACCCAGCCCCAACCTGGCTGAGCCGGTGCCCCCTCCTTGCTCCCGCCCCCCGGGCCCACTACCCCCGCCACCCAGTGCGGAAGGAGGAGAGGCAGCCGGGCCATCCTGCGCCTCCAGCTGCGGGGACCCCCTTAGCATGGGGGGGTGCGGGGGGATGGCCATTCCGGGCGGAATAAAGTTGACTGACACCACACCTCAGGGTTTGTTTTCTCTGTGGACCATCTGTTCTCTCGCCTGCTTAACAGCTTTTCTCGCAACGGACTCACGTGTTCCAAAACTCACATTTATTGTAAAGGAGACTTGAGCCATTTCACAAAATACCTTCAATGGAAGTATTCAGGAGCGACGGGACGCCCACATTTTTTATTTTTTAGTTACAGTTTACAGTCACTGTCATTGTGTCTTAGCTTCAGATGTACAGGGACAACCTATTTTTAAATGCAGGGTGTCCCCCCGAAATGTCTATGCACCGTAACAGCTGTAGCTCAATGTTGAAAATGAAATGTATTTTAGCAAACACGGCCTTTGGAATTATTCAAGGGGTGTGTACACATTTTTGGGGGGACACCCTATAGTTCAGAAAAAGAATCTGGGTGTGTATGGGAGGGTAGGAGAGCGAGACAGAGGGAGGGAGGAAGGGGTACATTATTATCAACTAAATGTATCACAATTGATTATTGGTCCATTATTATTGACTAGATGTATCACAATTGATTATTGGTACAATATTATTGACTAGATGTATCACAATTGATTATTGGTACAATATTATTGACTAGATGTATCACAATTGATTATTAGTACAATATTATTGACTAGATGTATCACAATTGATTATTGGTACATTATTATCAACTAAATGTATCACAACTGATTATTGGTCCATTATTATTGACTGAAGTCCAGGTACTAGCAGAGCGCTGTAATGTTTCCCTGGCACCTTCTGCTCCAGGACCCTGCCCCGAGCACCATGTGACATGGACCCCGGAGCCTCCTGGCTCCCGTGGCTGTGCCAGCTCCTCAGGCTCCGTGGCTCCTGGC